ACTCCAAAACGACAGCGAGGGAAAGAAAAAATGATGCTAGTTTACCTCACTAAGCAGAAGTTTTCCAGGCCACTAGGAGATACCGCAGGACCAGTCTTGTAAGACCAAATCCTCTTGGAAAGACTTGAGCGGGGTTGCCTAATTAGGCGGTACTGTAATTGGCCATCTTTTGGAGAAATGGTACGTTTTACTTCATGCCTTTTTAAACACATGGACATTGTTAACGTGAGACCAGAAAATTGTGAGGATCTGGTCTCACAGGACTGGTCCTGTGGTGTCTCCTAGTGGCCTGGAAAACTTCCCCTGAGTGGCGTGCACTTGCATCATATTATTTCTTGCCGTCGTCATTGAATTCATGGCTTTTGGATTTCCGCAGCCCTTTTTTTTTTCTTTATTCTTTTGCATTTGTTTTATGGTTTTAAATTTTTGCTTCCATTTTGTTGCTGTGATTGCAGCATTTTTTTCTTGCGTCTGTAGAAGTAGTAAAACTGATTCCGAAATCTAAACCCCCCACATAGCTGCTGAGTTCCCCTTAGTATGGCTCGCCCACATCACCATCCCACCACCTTGTCCCTACTTCCTCCCACTTGATACCCAACTCAAATATTAATAACTTGATCAAATAAGTTTGAAATCTCAATTTTGTCTGGTAGCATTTTGTGTATATCTTCCTCATATTGAAAGAATGCAATTTCTGTCGAAATTTGTTCATGGATGCTGAAAATCTGGAGCTGACTTGAAAAGCATTAGAATTAATTGAATTGCTGTCATTTTGAAATGTAAAATGTGAATGACTTCAAATTGGAATGGTTCGAATCAGTCTAGAAATTAGGACGTTTTTGGGGAATGCAAGGAATTGATGGAATGTGGGAAAACAGTCCCCAAGGGGTTCTGAATGAGCTGAATATTTGGAATTTGGAACATCTCCTTCATTTAGAAGATATTTCTTGCATGAGAAATTTGGAATTCTGAGGAAGGGAATACTTTTAGGAATGTGGAAGATAATTCCATGTCCTGATTTTTTTTCAACTTTTTTGGAAGTTTGAATGTTTTTTAATTAGCAAAGGGCAAGAAGCACAGCCTTGCTGAGGAAGTTTCTAGGTTTGAATCTCAGTTTTGGCCTTTCTGTGTAAAGTATGGATTTTTGGGTCATCATGCACTTGTGTGGGTTCTCTCTGAATCCCCCATGACAAACAGGGCTTCATTGTATGTCTTGTGATTCCTTGAGTGTTTTTCCAAGTTAAAAGCATTACACTATCCCCGAGGAGTCACGAACCCCAAACCAGAGTGCACAACCAATGAGCTCGTTCAATAAGCGTCAGTGTTTCTTTTTGTTCTTGCCGAACAGTTGCAAGTCCCTCAATCTACCCAGCAGTGCCACTTCAATGCTAAAAAGTCCTACCCGACAGGTCTGCTGGCAAGCTGAGCTCTTGACTGGAACCTACATTCCTCACTCGCTGCGGATGATGAAAGAGAAGAACTAGTCCACATTCCTCAGTCGCTCCCTCTCCACACCCATGGGACCTCCTTTTACCTCAGCACTCAGCCGTCCCCGCCAGGATGTACTTCCCTCACGTACGATTTATTACTTTAAATGGACATTTGAGCTCCACAATGGGCTAGCAGACTTTAAATCTCTATATTATTTATGTTGTCTCTAAAACCTGCTGGCAGATGTTTCCTTACTGCATATAGCTATAAGAAACCCCAAATAAGGCCAACTAGTAGGATTGAGATTGTTAACTAGTAGTATTTGTCACTAGAAGTACTTGTAGGACGCGGTTGTCAACCTGCCTCGTAACAGGTCGTTGTCCTACTAGTGAGAAAAAAAAGCGTACTAGAACATGGGCAAGTAGATGGATATCAAGGACATTGAATAAATGCACAAATAATAGCTTCAAACAATAGTTTCAGCATATATTGGCTAGCTTTGTAGTAGTAGTACTAGTAAGACAATTCAGTGCGCTAGCAGAAACACTAGGGCACACCAGTCAAACAACTGTGCCTCGCTGTAAAATGTATTTACCGCTACTGCTACTACTAGTGACACACAAGTATGCATTTAATATTTACTGGTAAACTACGGTGTAGCAATAAGACAACTTGGCCCAACTAGTGGGCATATGTAACAAAATAGTAGCTCCCTTGACCTTACTAGTAGCCCCAAAATGCCTACTAATTGTTTTTGCCTGGTAACATGTTCAGTTGTCCTACGACTATATGCCAAAGTTGTCCTACTAGTGTTCAGAAATATCATAAAGTACAGTAATTGAAGACAGTAGTGGAAAAAATGCTTCTGGTAAGATTCCGTTTCGTGTGCCTGAGTCATTCTGATGGACGTCAAGCGGGATAGCAAGGATATTGAATAAATGCTCATATGACTTTCCATACAACCCCACAATCTGGCTTTAATGTTGGTGAATGTTTCCTTTATGGTTGCGCTTCTTGAAATGGAATTGATCTCTTAAAACTGTACATTCACTGTGAAATGGGCAGGTGCTAGCAATACATTGATCAGGGTCAAGACAATGCAGGAAACAAGCAAAGTGTTTGCTGAATCATTATTGCTGACTGGGTTACCTCATTCAACTCAGCTCTGCACACGATTGGTTGACAGTTTGCCATTTATTCAGTTCAAACCCTATTCATGTCATTACTCAGTAGGGGAAGTCATTTCACAAGCTTTTTGTTGAAGATACCAAATTAGGCAGATCAATTGACCTATTGGCCATATCGCCCATTTGAACTGCCACAATGGAGAAAGAGGCGTGACATTGATGTCTTTTATGTGTAAAAGATGTCCATCGAAACCCTGTCACTAAATGAACATTTGTAATCCATTACAAGAACAAGGAGTCTTCCAAACAAAGACTGCTGCAGCTGATTACTTGATTTGGAAGGAGTGCTGCTTTCGAGGAACACGAGAAGCTTGTAACATGACACCAGCATAAAGCTATAATCCCAACAGCCACCAGAGAAGGCAAAGAAATGTGAAGCTTTGAAAAGCTTCCCGAGACACAGATGATTTGGGTTTACTTTTTGAATCTCCGCAAAGACCTACGGGGCACTTCGGCCTATGTAACTTAGGGAGTTTTTAAATGGATACTCTCCATGGACAAAAAAAGTGTCCAGTAGGGCTACTGTTGATGTTTCTCAACTGCTGGTTGTCACAAAATTGTATTCCCTGGGCGGTTCTCTGGCAGACCAAAAATGTGTCAAAACTGAAGATATATTTCAAATGAGAGTCACTGCCAAACCACTTACAAATATATAAGAAGCGCAGAGCTGATTTGAGTTTTGGATTGATTGGGACTTAGGCACGATGTAATGAAGGAAGCATTTCCCCCTCTGGGTGGGGCACCTAAAGAGCTTTAGCTGGTCCAGTGCTTGACGGTCGTAAAGGGTCAAGCAGAGCAGAGCACCACGGTCCCTTTAGACATCAATAACAAACAACTTGAAATCAATTCTTAAATGAAGCATGAACCTGCTTGCAATCGCTCCAAATAGTTCATGTTCCTCCATGTTGGCTTATAGGCCCCCACAAGATCTTAAACAATCAATCAAAATCTAAACAGTGCTTGACTTCTGTTTATTGACTTCTATTTTACATCATTTATCACTAACCAGCCTATTTAGACAAACCAAGCAGTAGAAAGTGCTGGTATGTGTTTCAAATGTAAGAAGTGAAAGTAAACGTCATCAGAAAAAAATTGTCAAGTAAAGTACAGATACCTGGAGACCTAATTAAGTTCACTAACCAATACTAACCAGTATTTGTACCTCAATAGAGATTATTATAAAATGTTGACATTATATCATTCATTTGCATCCAAGTAGCTCAATCATATAAATGCCCCGGTCGTAATTCTTGTTCATAAATGACTCCATATTTGCAGTGGTCATTAACTCTTTCTTATCAGTATCCAATATCTGAAAAGTAGATGCTTTGCATAGTACAAGAAATTGTATCTGTTACACATTCAGATAGATGACAAATGGCTAGATAATGCAGATGGATTGGAAATTGCTGTATGGATGGATGATCGCAAAAGTGATCACACACCTCACATTTTTGTGAATATATTTTACTCTATCATTGTATGGGACAACACTGAAAAAAGGACACTTTGCTACAATGTAAGGTATGTAAAAATGTAAATACAATGGACTGTGCTGTTCCCTCAAAATAGCTGAACATAGAGCCAGTAATGTCAAAATCAGTGGCAACAAAAGTGTACACTACTATGTGAAAATGTCTGGGCCCAATTAGCCATAAATAGATAGATACACTATGTACAAATTTCGCAAAGTGGGTAGTATCATAATTATTATTAGTGCTTTGAAATGATATAGTACAGTCAATAAATATGTTGGCATTGTCATTGCGTTTTAATTATTATAATTTCTATCTATTTGTTTTGTCGGGGTAGTGTGACCTCCAGTCCAGGCCAGTGCCTGCTAATATTTCATTACATCCTGATTCACTGACATGTAGTGTGTGGGATGGGGGGAAGGGTAGGAAGAGGAAGTGTGTGTGGTGGGGTGTGTGTGGTTTCGAGCGCGTGGTTGTGCGTGCGTGTGTGTGTGTGTGTGTGTGTGTGTGTGTGTGTGTGTGTGTGTGTGGTTGCGTGCGTTTGCGTGTGTGCTTGTGCGCGTGTGTGTGGTTGCGTGGGTTTGCGTGTGTGTGCGTGTGTGTGTGTGTGTGTGTGTGTGTGTGTGTGTGTGTGTGTGTGCGCGAGCGCGTGTGGTTGGGGGAGGTGGGGGTAAAGAATGCTTGGTATGTGCGGACGACACTAACACGAAAGGCGGCGAGTTATCCGTGCGCCGACAAATGAAACCCTAAAAAACACGTTCTCTTCGCTTTCTAATTCATCCCGAGGCACCTACTCGTCAATATGCGACACACTACGCTGTTAAACGTCAAATGTAGTTATTTTACGGCATGGCAACACAGTCGAGATGACGCCACTACCCCCCAGATGCTAGTGTTGGTTTGGTCCGTAGTAGGTGGGACTGGCGAGCGGTCTGCACCAGGACGTCGTAGATCAATGAACCGAACCGGAGGCTCGCTCGATACGCTGGTGTACAACAAACTGAGCTAACTGGATAAATGTGTCACCAGCAAAGCATAAGAGAGGGCACGCACGCTTTGTTCAACTTAATCAACCCGTTCAGTATGTCGATGTTTTAACCAGACGGGTTATTTTCGAGCCTTACTCGCCGCTTCCGACCATTTCATTGGATCTGCGATTTTTTTTTTAAGAGGGGGGAGATCTTGTCTGGAAATCGAATATCTCTAACCTCCAGGATGATCTTTGCAAACACGGGCAACCCACTGAAAGCTGCCACTCGCAAGCAGGTAGGCCATTGTGTTTTGCTTTCTACTTTTGCTGTCACTTTTCAAATAAACCCGAGCCTGAAATGACATTGGGAAGCCCTTCCCTTCTGTATTTGGTTTGCAATAATCTAACAAAACAGCGTTCAAATATCAAGTGATTAACAACAATATAAGCGACTTGTGAAGATGTAGATGAAACCATTTTCGAGAGGCTTTAATTGTTGTTTCCATATAACCTTGTTTGGCCAGCCACTCTGTTCAATATGGACCATGCTTATTGTAGTCCTCTTTTCCTGGCTCCCTGCATTCATCCACTGAATTCTGGGGGGTTGGGGAGGTGGGGG